TTGAAGATTGTGAAAGAATTCATAATGTTACTGAACGGGTTCCGGGAACAAATCTAAGTGGCAGGAATGAAGATGTATAACTTTCCTTCTAGAATGGTTCAATTATACACTCACGTTTGTGAAAATTGCAATACCAAGAAGGAATCGTCATAATTGAATGCAATTTAATACACAGTTGAGTGGTAGTGGTACAAATAAATGATTAAATGTTCAAAGCAAACAAACAAGAACAAGATATCAGAATCAGTATTTTGTGTGGCCACCACGCGCCGCAATAAGTGCTGCTACACGACGTGGCATGGAGTCAAACAAAGTTTGAATGTCTGACTGAGGAAGAGCATTCCATATCGTTTGTACGCGTACCCAAAGTTCGTCTGCAGACGCAACAGGACGAGGATCACGAGCAAGACGCCGACCAATGACATCCCACACATGTTCAATGGCGACATATCCGGGGAACACGCAGGCCAAGGGAGAAGCTGTACCTGCCTGCGCTGCAAAGAAGGATTTAACAATCCGAGCAGTATGAAGGCGGGCATTGTCCTGTTGAAATACAGCGTCTGGCAAGCTTTGAAGGAAGGGAACAGCTTCGGGCTGTAGAACTTCATGGATATACCGGTTGCTGTTCAGATTGCCCACAATTCGTAGCAATTGAGATCGTCTATGATATGCTATGGCGCCCCAGACCATAACTCCGGGTGTTTGTCCACTGTGGCGTTCGATAATGCACTCCGGAAGGTGGCGTTCACCGGCATAGCGTCTGACACGAATGCGGCCATCATGGTACCACAAATTAAAGCGGGATTCGTCAGAAAACACGACATGCTGCCAATCAGCACGCCAGTCTCTATGCTGATTGGCCCATTGTAGCCGCAGGCGGCGATGGTCGTGCGTTAGGGGGATCCTGTATAAAGGAGTCCGTGCGCGCAGTCCACACTGCAGCAGACGTCTACGAATTGATGAAGCACACAATGAAACACCTGTAGCTATTGACCACAGTACTGCCAATTGTCTAGAGGAAGCTGTACGGTCCATCCGCGCCATGCGGACCAGGTGTCTATCATCGCGAGCTGACGTCACATTTCGGGGTCCACTCCCGGATTTCCGAGTTGTCCGACACTCGTCCGTCCACTGCTTCCAAACGCGCATCACTGTACTGCTGTTACGCTGCACACGAGAGGCTACTGCACGATACAACAATCCAGCTTCACGAAGGCCGATGATTCTCTCTCGTTCAAACTCTGTAAGTTGTTCAAATCTCGCTCTCTTTCGTAGACGAGGCATAAGTACAGATTGAGTTAACGTTTACCACTAGCAGATAACCACCGATAACCATACACGCCTCGCTACAGCCGTCTATTTATTCGGATCCATCAGCCGTTCAGATGGCGCTGCTCAGCATACGCATGCGCTACGGATTTGCAATTCTAATCATTTGCATATCATGCGCTACTTTGCATTTCCTGAAAATTTCAGCTCACTTGCATAAGTCCTTCATGGTGTTGCAATTTTCACAAACGTGAGTGTATGTACTCTTTCATTGTACCTTTAAATCAACTGTTAATTCAGTCCAAAACAAAAGAGATTGTGAAAAATTTAGGTATTCAAACTTTCAGTTGTTTTGCTGGTTGGCTATACCCCTTCTAAACGAGACACTATATTTTATCATTACTAATTTCTGGTGAAGCTAATGTAGAAGGAGTAAACAACTGGTTGCATAAATTTGAGCAAGAGAAAGAAAAGTATGCCTTGTTCAATGTCTACAATAGGGATGTAGCTGGATTTTTCGCAGTCCCCCCCCCGAGTCCCACCGTCAGAAGAAAAGGTGACAAGTGTCTTGCTAGAGCATGCAGTACATAATGTTTAACTGTTGTCCTTGTCTGCAAAGCAGGGTTATGCATTGTCCTTGGGTTATCGGCAAGTCCTAGAAACTGTGTTGTTTTGAAAACATGGATAGTACTTTACCTTGGATTTATTCTCACCATAAGAAAGCTTGTCTCTATTGTTTTAGTAATTGAATAGTGGTTCAGAATATGCCTGTTCTTATGATACTGGGCATGTATACAGACCATAGCATACGTGGTGTGAACTTAATCAATGTAAAAGTTGTTTTTTCCTTCCAAATGCTACAAGTCATCTTCAGCTTTTGGATCAAGGCATTTTTGCAGCTATGAAGAGGTCTTATCGTAACTGCAATTCACACTGCTGAAAAAGAAGTTCACCAACTTGGAGTGTGCTTGATGCAATAAAAACTTTTACTGCACCCTGGAAATCCATATCATCACAACACATGCAGAACTGTTTTAGCAGAGACTGAAGACACAAAGACACGAATCCTGTTGACAAGCTAGATGGTAACGATACCACTTCATCTGACAAATGAAATAATTTATAAAATTTTGCGAACCCTGTTCTTAGCTTTAAGAAGCTTGTTAATGCAGATGATGATGTTACTGTGTGTACTTTAGGGAAATCTGATGTACAGTCAATTGTGTCTGAATTGCAAGAAATGTCAGAAGAAAGTGAGGGGGGTCGTATCATTCTGCTCACCTCCCAGGAAATGTTACGTGTCTTGGAGACTGTAGAACATTTTGCTGCAGCATCCAAATTGACTGCTAGCTTTTCAGAAGCCAGAGTACAGCTGGTCATAAAGTTACCAGGCATTTTCGTTCCTGCTCAACAAACAGAATTTTTTCACCAAAAAATGGTTTTCAAGTGTATTTATCAAGATTACAGTATGATAATTATAGTCCTGTAGTTTTTATCCCCCTGTGGGGATATACATAATATATTATATTACTTATGTAAACTGTCGTATTTTCCTGTGTATAATGTGCATCTCTAATTTTGAGCTACACTTTTTAAATTTTAGGTATATTTGCCATTTAATGTGCACCCAATTCTTCACCAAAGAAACCTGAAAGAGATACATGTGCAATGCTCTTATCTTTTAATGTCACTTACTCAAAGATTAGTCCTAGCCTTTCGAACAATGGTATACCGAACTGACAATATGTGTATGGGTTAAATGCTTGTGAGAGTAAATATTCTTAAAGAGGGTGAATTGTATTCAATGCAATTGTCCAAAAGAATGCAAAAGAATAGGGTTTTGAGAAAAGTGGGATATAATTTGGAGCAAGAATGCACTTCCAACCTGAATGAATTCATGGAATTAGAAGTTTTCTCTTTCTGTAATCATTTGAAGTGAAAATCAAAGGCTTTTAGTAAATTGCATTTTTTTTTTTTTTTTTTTTTTTTTTTTTATAGTTAAAATACAGTTTATCAAGTGTTCCTTTTAATAGTAAATATGGCTCCAGCAAAAAGAAACAAACACATTGCTGGTTTCAAATGCATAGCCATTCATTTTGCAAAAGAAAACTGAAATCATGCTGCAACAAGGATGTTGGGTGTTGGTGAAAGCCCCATACATGAACAGAAGGAAAATGAAATCACAATAATTAATATGCCAAAGAATAAATGTGTTTTGCATAAAGCAGTAACGAAACAGCCCTTCCTAGAAGAAAGTGTTGTGAACTGGATCCTAAAAAAAGGCGCCATAATAGATTACATGTAACAAGAATTAGTATATATGTTTATTTGCCTTAAAGGGCAGATGAAAGTGAAAACTTTAAAGAAATTTTGAGTTGGAGTAAGTAGATTTATGGCACGGAATAATATAGTTCTGCAAGAAAAAACAAGTTTCACAAAGGCTTTCGTAAGATTTGGATAATAAATTGATTAGTTTCAGAACTATGTTATTGACCCACGAAGGGAAAAAAGTATTTATTCTCATTTATTGGAAATATGGATGAAACTCCAGTAATGTTTGATGTGATAGGAAATAAAACAAATGATATAAAAGGAATAAAAACTGTTCACATATAAAGAACAGGTCACAAAAATCTCACTTCACCATAGTGCTTTTCTCCTTAGCGGACAGTTCAAAATTAAAACCCATGTTTAGGTTTAAAAGAAAGATTATGCTAAAATGTATTTTCCCAAATAATGTTTTCATTCACGTTCATGAGAAAGAATGACTGGACGAAATTGGTATGAAGTTGTAGATAAGAAATGTTTGTAAAAGTTTCCTCTTTCCTCAAAGAATCCAGAAAGTCTTTTAGTCTGGAACATGTTCAGATCTCATCTAATCGATAATATGAAGAAATTATTGAAAGAGTGTAATACAGGCATGGCAGTTATTTCAGGCAGATTAACACCATTAATTCAGCCTTTAGATGTGTGGAACAATGAAGCATTTAAAAATAATTTTAAATAACAGTGGAATATGTGGATGTTAGAAGGTGAAAATCATTTACAAAAAGTTAAATGCATCAAACCAGTGTAGAAATAGTGTGTGAGTGGATAATAAAAGCATGGAATGAAATTAAACCTGACATAATTCAAAAATCATTTAAAAATCGCAGTATATCTAACAATTTAGATAGAATGGAAGATGATTATCTATTTACAGATCAGAGTAACAGTGATGGGGAAGATGAAACAGAATTCGAACGTGTGCCTGAAGATATAACAGAAGACAAATGTGATGAACTTTTCATGCTAATAAAATAATGAAAATTGTTGAGTTCATAAGGTATGCCATTTCCTTTAAATAAATAGCATTTAGGTGCATATAGAAACTAATTTTTTTAATGCTCATTCCTTATTTCTAAATCTATCATTTTTATACCCAGCATATAACACAGACCCATAAATTTTGATGTTCTTTATTGTATTGAAAGTGTGTTATACAACAGAATATACGATACATGCTGTAAATGGTTAATGTATAGAAAATTCAGTCCCCAATTTAGCATGAATTATTTTAATATGAACTGCTGATTTTTTGGTCTGTTAAGATTCATGTTAATGAGGGTTTACTGTATATAAAAATAAATAGTTAAAAGTGTTTCATTTTTATATGGATAAATTTTCATTTGAAAATTTTAAAACGTATGTGAAATAAAATTATGTATAAATTTGTATTTTGTTTGCTCTAGGATTATAATGACACTGCAAGACTCCTTGCTGCAGAAAATGTCGACCGAGAAGCGTTAATGGAGTATGCCCGGGATGCTGCTGATTTTGCTACTAGTTATCAACTTCCAAGTCTTGATTTTGCTGTTAATCATTATGGGCAAGCAGATGTTGCTATGTTTGATTTTACGTCTATGTATGCAGCTGAAAATGCTTGTCGCGTTATAGAAAGGAAAGGACATAAATTGCTTCAAGGTCTTGTTGGTGATAGCCTTTTAGAGGTATATTTGCATTGTTTTCTAAACTTTAGTTAAATTTTTGTATTTAAATCTTCCATTAAAAATTTAAAAAATAAATAACTTTTTTTTCTTTAATGTTTAGTGATACGCTGCATGTTTTAATCACTCAAATCATTAAAAATGATATATGCAATGTCAGGTAATGTCTGACATTTTTAGGCACAGTGATATAATACCTTAAATAAAAGATAAACTATCTAAAAATTCTTTATGAGTATCTTTAATCACATGAGCAATGTCTATAAATGATTTCTTGCTATGCATACTGTATGTGCTTTTTGTTTTTTTTTCTAATAGAAAGATAAATTAGGCATGGGGTAAGATCTTTAGCAAACTCAAGATAAAAATGAATTTATTTATGTGGCCCCCAAAAAATCTGATCATGTAAGATTTATTGAATTAGCAAGCAAACTCTATTTTAACCCTCTAGCCATGTTTTATGTATTGCTTTATTATTTATTATTCATTTTATTTTATAAAATATTTATTTGATTTATATATTTTATTTGTTAATTGTCTTATATGTGCCCATGTACTACTAACCATGTATAGGCATGTTTTGGTAATGAAATCAGTTTTTATGATTTCCTAAGGTTATTGTTTATCAGTCACATTTATAATAGCATCAAGCAAATTATTATTCTTACATTTGTATCTGTCATCATATGGATTCTGATAAGCGAGAAACCAAGTGATTGCAAGCTGTATGACATTGCTTCTTTTTCTTCCACTTGCTGATCCCCATATGTATTTCACTTTCTTCCTATTGATACAGTCAAAAGTCATTGATTCGGACACCCATAATCCGGAATGATCTATAATCCGGACCTCAAAGCTACAAACTTTCTGCGCATGAACATAATACATTTACGCATGCATGTTTAATGTATAACTGATGGTATAAGCTAAAATTATCTAATTATCTATTTCAGTTAATGTTGCAGATTGCGTTGTTCCTTAATCTTTGAATTAGATCCAGCTTATTATTTTTTTGCAGAGTGTTAGAGAATTTTATAAAAATAAGATAAATAAGAGAATTAATTAGAGAATTTTATAAAAATAAGCTTGAACTTTTGATTATGTCAAAAAGAATTTACGATTCTGGAGCTGTCAAAGGATCTACAAAGCAAAAGCATGTTTCGATGTCCATCAAACAAAAAGTGGAATTGCTGCAAAAAATGGATAAAGGCATATCCTTTGTTTCTCGAACCATTCCGAAATCTGTTTATCAATTTCACGCTGCTCTGTGGAGGGAGGGGGGACAAAGCGGCACGCAATGAACTGGAAGTTGATCTGTCAGCACTATCCTTATCTTTAGGGCAGATGTTTTTATTTTATTTGGCTTATAATTCCTTACTAAATGTAGTATTTCATCTCTATGTACTCCGTCTTTGATATGATTTAAATCAAATTCCTCGTCATTATAATTCGCTTCCGATAGTGAAAAAAGTGACACAGAGGTTATTGAAAACGAAAAATTTCGATTGACAAATTAGTCCCAACGAGTCCGGATTAACGACTTTTGACTGTACTAGTCTCAGAATATAAATTTAGATTAAAATTTAAAAAATCTGATGTGTACACCACATGACTTCCTTGTACAGAATATTAAATTATATGCAGTTTTTCTTGCATTTCATTTAAACTTTATTGGATTGAATTAAATCTACTTAGTCGATAGCGCAAACGACAATAGAATAAATGCACTCTTTAAAATTCATTACATTTGTTTACCATGGCAACAACTCACTTAACAGTGTTATATTTCATTCATATTATAACTCAAAAAGCACAAAATATATATCATTTGAAAAATTATCTAATCGTTGCTACATGTTCTATTCAAATACTCTAATAAATCTAGAATGATGTTTAAAAGAAATTAAGCAAACAAAACAAAAAAGAAACAGTTTTTCACAGACAGTTTAGTATTTCTCATTCAATTAATTCAGTTCTCACTTCGCAAAAAGGCTAAAATACATAAAAACTCAAAATTTCTATATTAAAAATTACGAAGCAAATTTTAAACGCTTATTTCCTCGAAAAAATTCCTGAAAGGATTAAGCATGAGTCCATGTGCAATAATAAATGAGGGCGTTATCTTTGTTGTTGCAAAGCTTAGTTTCTCTAGCTTGACAACAAATCTACTATTGCTGTTTCAATTGTAAACAAATATGTCTACCATGTTATTTAAAAGTTTTGTTTAACCGCACTTAAACAGCTTTTAAATTGTTGATAACTGTACAAATATTGCTTGCAGATTTACCAGAAGATAAGAACAACATAATTGAATCATTTTTAAAGCAAAAGGCACAATTTACAAACATATAAGAGTAAAGAAACTGAGATCACTGAGGTGGGTAACAGAGGGGATATATATACAGTCAAAAGTCTTTAATCCGGAATGATCTATAATGCGGACCTCAAAGCTACAAACTTTCTGCGCATGCGTAAACGCATAATGCATTACCACATGTGCATAATACATTTAAGTATGTATAACGGAAGGTATAAGCTAAGCTAAAATTATCTAATTACCTATTTCAGTTAATGTTGCAGATTGCGTTGTTCCTTAATCTTCTAACTGGATCTGGCTTATCATTTTTTGCAGACTGTTAGAGTAATTTTATAAAAGTAAGCTTGAACTTTCGATTATGTCAAAAAGAATTTCCGATTCTGGAGCCGCCAAAGGATCTACAAAGCAAAAGCATATTTCAATGTCCATGAAACAAAAAGTGGAATTGCTGCAAAAAATGGATAAAGGCATATCCTTTGTTTCTATAACCATTCCGAAATCTGTTTATCAATTTCACACTGCTCTGCGGGGGGGGGGACATCGCGGCATGCAATGAACTGGATGTTGATCTGTCAGCACTATCCTTATCTTCAGAGCAGATGTTTTTATTTTATTCGGCTTATAATTCCTTACTAAATGTAGTATTTCATCTCAATGTACTCCGTCTTTCATATAATTTAAATCAAATTCCTCGTCATTATAAATATCATGAATACACATCAAATAGTTTTCTGGTAGCAGTTTTCTAATTTCGACTGTGCGTAATGTATGCTTTACGCATGCACGCATTGAAAGAAATTTTTAATAAAGTAAACAAATAATATTAAGCTTTTTTTTTTTTTTTTTTTGTAAATTTTGATACCCTTTAGATCATTTTTTTTTTTTTTTTTTTTTAATTTAATTTTTGCCATTACCTTTTTCATATTTCATAATCATATATTTTCTTTATTTCATAAATTACGGTTTCATATTTTCATAATTTCTTAATTTCTGCATGCCATCTTACCAGATTTAAATTGATGATCTATAATCCAGTATCGCCAAAGTATATTTATACACGTTTGGTGCGGCCGATTGCTACCAAAATACAAGGTGCACATCTATATGATATAGCAGTCATGCATACAAAATTTCACTGTACTGAGGCTACTCGTTTTTTAGTTATGCGAGATACATACTGATGCCATGAAAAATTCTCTTTAGAATTCATTTTAAAGCAATTTTATAATTTTCTTTGGCTGGAAGAAGTGTCCTTTATTCTGTCCTTACGTTCAGATTAAATTGCATTCGATAGCGGTCAAAATGGTATTTTCATTGAAATATGCTGCCTGAAACTTTTCGCAATTACAATACTTCCTTTTTACTTCGTACAAGGAAGTAAAAATAGCCACTTCTAGCCACCCATTTCCTAAAAAAAAAAAAAAAAGAGAGAGAGAGAGAGAGAACAAACAGACAAAAATTAAGCAAATATCCCATCTTTATAGAAGAATCTGAAACAGCTTCTGGGATTCGTGAATATTTTTAACGTCAATCACAGCTAGTATTTTTTGGTAAAGTATTGATGGCTTCAGTTTATCTACACCTTTCCCCATGCTATAATTATCTAGTTTGTTATGAATGTATTTTGATACTCAAATGAAGAATAATGTGAGTAATATACAGATAGAATTAATAAATGCATAAATAGAGTTGTTTATGAAAAAATCCAAAATGGCCTGCTCTCTCATAAAAGTTTCATTTACTATTTGACTATGTAGATATTAATTCAGTAATAATATTTAAGTGTAGTAGTTAGGATACTTTTAATTGTATATGCATATGTGGAAGCAAACAGATCAGTGTTGTTTTGCATGAAATAATGTTTTGTGAGTCTTTTTCAGTGTTCAGTAAACATTTATTAGTGGATGTAAGCAGTTTATACAAATATTAATTTTTTATGTATTTATTTAAAAATTTTTATATTGCTTCACTTTTTTTTTTTTTTTTTCCTGACAGCCTTTCTGGCCAACTGGTTCTGGTTGTGCTCGAGGTTTCCTAAGTTCTTTTGATGCAGCCTGGATGATAAGGAGTTGGGCTTCTGGTAGACTTTCACCATTGCAAGTGCTTGCGGAAAGAGAAGCTATTTATCGTTTGTTAGCTCAAACTACTCCAGAAAATTTAAGCAAAGACTTAAATCAGTATACTCTTAATCCATCTTCAAGGTACCCAAATCTTAATCTTCAAGCAGTTCTGCCTTCTCAAGTGCGATCGCTATATGATACAGATGGAAAACTGGAAGAAAGCATCATTGATGTCACTGTTGAAGCACCAAAAAAGAAGAGGAGGAAAGGTGAGAATTTTTATGCACTTAATGAAATTTCCCCTACCTTGTTTTTAAAACAACAAAGATATTTTTAAAAAATTGTGTATATTTTCCAAAAATGGTGCTAATTTTAATTATTTAAAGTTGACTTCAAAATAAGGAATTAAAAATAATTCATGCTTAGTTACTCCAGTTCCTGCATGTATGACAAATTTTCTGTGCAAAATTATAAAATTTTATATTATGCAATTTTTTTATTAATTTTACTTTTTTGGTATTGTTACTGCAATAGATCATGGGTTAAAAAATAACTTATTTTAAAACTAAAGCATTGTTCACTAAACAATAATGATATCTAGCGTACTTCAAAATGTCCGTCATAGTAAGGAAATAGGGATTACGTAAGAACATGTGCAAGTGTATTCCATGTGGCTAAAATCTGTATGAGCCTATTCTGAGCCTTTCCTCCACAGCTATCTGTTCTTTTATGTTCAACCTACTGCAGAGTTACAATAGCTTAATGAAATTTGGCTTATCTCTAGGATGGTTAAGTGCCTGCTGCCACAATGTTATGCCTGCATTTGAATCTTGGAAAAGTCATAGATATTTGTAATCTATAGTATCTTTGTGGCCTGGGAAGGAGGGAGCATTCAAAACATCATTGAGCTATAAGCCTTTTTAAAATATTGGCTGTAATCAAGGCTTAATTTCATCAGTTAGAAGTTCCATAGTCATATAAAACAGAAATAAGTAAATTAACAGTGAAATATTAAAATAATTTTAAAAAAATAAAATATTTGATAATTAAAATTCAATAAAATGTAAAGAGATGAAAAATTAATCATTATTAAAATAATGGTAAACATTTAAATAATAAATAAGGCTCTGACTGGAATCCTAGTTTCATTCAAAAAACTAAGAAATAGCTTAACTGGATTAGGATTTAAGCCCTGAAAGATTATAATATACTGCTTTAAGGGATGATAGAAACGAAAACCATTCCTTTTCAAGCTCTCCATTAAAAAAGTTAACAGTGGTTAAAGCATCATTAATGAGAATAGAAAGAAGGCTTTTAACAATAACAGGCCCACCAGTTGCCGAGCGGTAAATTCGCTGAACACTGGTAGTTCGGTCCGAGGTTCGAATCCCGCAAAGGGCTGGCTGCATGGGTGTTTCTGTGGTTTTCCCCATGTGTAACGTGTATACAAGCCAGTTTCCCTTAGAAAATCCTCCACGAAGGCATCCCTCCCCTTAGGCAGATACCCCTTGAGGCTTTGCCATAATTAAATAACATAACATAACATTTAACAATAACAGAGTATGGAGAAAATGTTAACGGAGCATGTGTAAGCATGAAAACAGAGAGAGGAGAAGAGTCTGACTTTCTAGTTTGATCCTGTACTAATTCTAGCTTTCAAGTGGAATGTGTCAGAGGTAAAACATTTAACCTGAATTCAAGAGTTAACTGAAAACAAAGTAACTAGTGGCAATTTTCTTCCTCTCTGTTTGCCTATATCATTCTGAAAAGTCTGTAGGTGTTCTTTTCTACAGGAGGTCACAGTGTTGGAATGAAAAATTCATTGAACTTCCTGAGAAATAAGCATTTGTCATATAGGTTGGAGCTTTTCTTTTCTTGAAAGTCTTAACCTCTGTCCAAGGTTTATTTTGCGGGGAAAGAGAGGAATGCATTCAGATGTTAGAATCTATTTTCCATTTAATTTTATTATTAAAATAAAATTTTCAAGAGCAAAAGAATTTTCTGCCAAAATTATGGTTCACTTTGTGTAAAGGAAATGTTGGAGACCTCTTATTTAAAGCTACAGTGTGCTCTTGCTAGAATTACAATTTATCAACCTGGCTCTAGTGGATTGTGGTGCAGCTCAAGCTCTGATGATAAGGGAAGAGAGATTGTTAGAGTCTTCATGAAAATTGGGATGAAGCTGAGTAAAAGTCATACTGTTAATCTCTAATGTGCGAAAGGCCTTGACATTGACAAGCACTTTGTACTTCTTGTCCATGATAAATTCATTGATCTGTTGTAATAGGTGTGAGATCACGAGAATAAGTATCAGTAGCATATAAAATTTCATATGATACAATAATAACTTCAGAACTTCTGTTGTGTAATATCATCATTTTATGTACAGATTATTCAGTGTAGTGCATTTAAAATTATTGCCGTAATGTTGATCAGCAGTCTTGTTCGTGAAAAGTGTGATAGTCTTTTCCATGAAAAATAAGCTTTTATATTTGCATTCTGTTATATAATGGACTTAATTTACATAAAATAGAAAATATCCATTAAATAATGGTATTAAAAAAATCTTATGTAATTAAATCTTTTTTAATGCATGAAATAATTTAAAATTTAGGGTTTTTTTTTATTAAATACTGCATAATTACTATCTAAATTCAATTCTTTATTACTTGTAAGTGAGCAAGAGTGAAAAAATATAAGGAAATAATCTAATCCTGAATAATAATTTAGTAGTTTTAACAAAACAAAATAAAATCTTTGGAAAGCAAAACACTTTGTGGAAGTGATCTATCAGGTAGCAGATTGTAACATCATTTGTATTACATTTGCTGTAATTTTTTTAATCAGGTGTAATAATTTTTACTTTTAGGATCGATATTTACAGGTGTACCTTTATTTTTATTTGATTCCAGAATCCATGATCCATCCTGATACATTGCTTAACTGGTGCCAGAAACAAGTAGCACTGAATGACAAAATCAAAATTAATGATTTCACATCATCCTGGAAAAATGGATTAGCTTTATGTGCAATATTGCACCGTTATCGACCTGATCTCATTGATCTTTTAGCTCTAGATCCAGAAAATGTTGCAAAAAATAATCAGTTGGTAAGTAATTTGTTCGTTTCCAGCAACATTGTAAATTTTCTGAACTTTTTCTTTTAAAATTAATTTAATAATTTGTTGCACAAAAACTTGTATTGATGAGTTTGTAATGAATAGGTTTTAACAATAGAATGCTTATAATTTTCCTTTTTTGTCTGCTATTTTCCTGTCATAATACTGCTACTGTTCATTTAAAAAAATTTTGTGACTTTTAAATCTTTAATTTTGATTAAAATATTCTAAGTTTCACTACACATATAGAATACAATAGTTTTCTAAGTGTTTTTAAGCATTAAGAAAATTTTATAGTTATACATCATGTGCATGTCTGTCTTTTCTACGCCTGTAAACAGATCCATCATGAAGATAAATTTACATTGCAGTCACAGGCTTTTTCCAAAAACATGTACTTATAAAGGATGCCAGAAATTATTCTCTAATGTCTGTTCTGTTTGATTTTGGTCATAAATTATATTTTGAAAAATGTTTGTTTTCATATGGACTACCAACCCTGCATGTTTTTTTATGAATTTAGAACATTTTCAGCATTGATATTTCAAAAGCTTATAAATAGATATCTCTTTTCTTTTGAGGCTTTTAGCTCTTATTTTCTAAGGTCTCAAAACCCAGTTTACCAGTATTTGATGATAGAATTTCATTTATTTTCTAAAAAGAGTTTTTTAGGAAGTCAGTTAAGTTAGCTTCTATGGAGAGCAAGGATGCCAATGACAGCAAAATACATCACTCGAAATGATAATTATATTATATTTAAAAACAGATCATGCAGAGCTTGCTGAATTGGTTTAAAAATAGAAGAAAATCTTAAGAAAAAATTTGTGATATATATGAAAGACATAGTTGTTATGTTGTATTACTGTGAATAAAAATATTTAAAAAGTACAAGTTTATTTAAAGTTGGACGCCAAATAATGGATTAAAAGAATGCACAATTGTTAGTCATGACAAATTAGTGTCATAAGTGGGATAGAATAATGGCATCAAAAGATTAGATTATCCTTACCTTTGAATCGTATTTATAAAGTGTTACAAAGTCTTCAAAAACTGAGGATTTTGCATTGTTTATGTAAAAATTGGATTTTTGTTTTATTTTCTCAGTTGGCCCGTGATTTAACCACTTGCCTAGGTATTCCGAGTTAACTAGTCATCAAAATTAATTTTCCTGGGTTGTGATTCTTGGTTCATAACAGACTCTTTATTTATTCTGAATCAACTGACAGTGTGTTTTGTGGCTGTGATGGTGACCTTCACGACATTTTATGAGAATATGCGAGTTTTTTAACTTAGCATCCAAGCACCTATCCACTTGTAAGTGAGGTTATTTTTATCTCTATCAAATGTGTTAGGTTAGCAATTCAGCCTGCTCAGGTATTTAGTGGGAAGTACTCAAATTAAAAGTTTATAAATTTGTTCTTTTAGGGCTTTGTCAAAAAATTTTGCTAAAGTAGACTATTTTTGCCCAGATTGAAATGTGCGTTTAGTGCCATTCTTCAAGGTCTACGACACTGTTTCTAATTCGAACTAAAATTTTTATGTATTTTTATATTTTATTTCTTTTTAATCATTTCTACCACAGTTTCTGTATACAGACAGATAAATATTCAATCTACCATTATTGAATTTCAAAATTATTTTTTTGTGTTCATTCTTAATTAAAAACACACTAACGAGTTAAATCTGGATAATTATTTATCATTTATTTACATCATAAAAATATGAAAAATACAAAAATTCTGAAAAAAATATTTGTAGAATCTTTTTTGTCTTTTACTACACACATGTCCATAAATTAAGGATAATTCGGAGTCACGCGGAAATCAAACTCTAAAATAAATATATCACCTGTAAAATCACTACACACATCTTCAAGAATCATATGCAAATTTCAGGAAGTAACCAGATGACACCGATGGTACGTCACAATGATGAGAGTGTTAGAGAGTGATATATAAGGAATACCAGCAAAGAAGTAAAATTGTTTGCAGGCACTTTATAAGCATTTCAGTGTAATAACCAAATAGTTATGACACAAAGGACGCATTTGGATGATTTTTTACGTGGTAGAATTATCGGCGTCTGGATGGGGCGTACCCAACTGGAAGTATCAGACGAACTTGGAATTGCCCAGAGTGTCATCTCCAGGCTTTGGCAACGATTCCAAGATGATAGTAATGTGAGTAGACTTTACAGCACAGGTCGTCCCAGAGTTACAACACCGAATGAGGACCGGTATTTGGCAGTTACTGCCAAAAGAAACAGGCGGAGCACAGCCTCAGACCTGTCTTGTCAGCAATCTTCAGCCACTGGTACGACAATTTCAAGGCAGACCGTGTACAGACGCTTAGGGCAGATTGGTCTATATGCTCGTAGACCTGTCAGATGAGTTCCACTTACTGCAACTCTGTCGCCTGCAGTTAGCCTGGAGTAGAGAGCATGCATTGTGGACACCGCAACAGTGGGCTTGTGTGATGTTTTCCGACGAGTCCAGGTTTAGCTTGCAGTCTGTTTCTCGCCGGACTTTCATATGGAGAGCTCCAGGTACCCGTTACTACCAAGAAAACATCATTGAACGACACCGTAACGGTGATGCAGGAGTGCTCGTTTGGGGTGGAATTATTCTGTGTTCCAGAACTGACCTGCATGTTCAAATTGGAACCATGACAAGCCAAATCTATCGGGACGTCATTCTGGAACAACATGTCCACTTGTTTCGGGGCGCCATTGGCGCACAATTTGTGTGTATGGATGACAGTGCCCTTCCTCAGCGTGCAAGCATCGTAAGCGAATGCCTTCAATCGGAGGATATCACCCGTATGGACTAGCCAGCATTCTCACTGGTCTTGGATCCAGTAGAGCACGTGTGGGACATGCTTGGCCGACGAGTTGCAGCTCGTCAACCTCCTTCTACATGTCTACCGGAACTTCGGAGAGCATTGCTTTTTGAGTGGTGTAATATCCCCCAAGATCAGATCGATAATTTGATATTCAGCATGCCTAGGCGTTGTACGGTATTGCATCTTCTGGTGGACATACAATGTATTAACAATCATACCAAGCATGTAATATTGGTTTTTTGTAAATAGGTTTTTTTTTTTTTTTTTTTTTTTAAATTTGCTCCAGGGAGAAAACATCGCTAATTTTTTTAATAATGTCAAACGTGTAGCATCTTTTTTTGCTCTTTACCTTTTGTTTAATAAATAAGCTTTACAAATAAGTCAAATTTGTTATGCTTTTAACTCTTCCTTTGCCTGATTTTGCATTATCCTTAATTTATGGACATGAATGTAATTAAAAGTACATGGTAATAAAAAAAGGAGAGGTTGATAATTTTTGCATGGTAACTGAAAAATAAATGCTTAGTTAAGGGGTTAATTTATGTAATTTTAACATTTGGCATTGTGTTACAGGGCAAAAATTATGAAAGTAATGTGAGAATTAATCTTTAACTTTTTCCTCCATATTACTGTTCAGTCGAACTTGCATGAAGGTGACATATAAAATTAAAAAAAAAAAAAAAAATTAACTTAAATGTAGCACAATAAAAAAACTGCCAAAGAGAAGGAAATCAAACTGTATCATAATAATTAAAAGTGTACTATCATCTGTTTTAAAAAAGAAACTTCCATAAATACAAGAAATTTTTTCCCCTATTTTGTGTATTAGAAAGTTAAAATATCAAACTTAGAGTTTTAATATATAAGTCACAGATTTATTATCTAAAGCTATTAAATTTTATTTTTTTCTTTTAATTGTAGTGTGTTCCAGGAATACCCTTCCCCCCCCCTCAGAAAATGGTTTTATCAGTATAATTATTGCATTAATATGATATTTACATTAGTTTAAGAAGTAAAATTAATTAATATCCTAATGAAAATAAAGTTTGTATGTTTTAATATGTGTATATGTATGTATCATATGATATTTTAAAGATATTGTTAATTTAGTTGATTTTAAGTACAGTCAAAAGTCGTTAATCCGGACTTGTCGGGACTTCGGCGATTCCGGATCATCGATTTTTCAGGATTATAGATCATCAGTTTAAATCTGGTAAGATGGCATGGAGAAATTATAAAATTAAAAATATAAAACCATAATTTATGAAATAAAGAACAATTTTTATCTAAAGGGTATCAAAATTTACCAAAAAAAAAAAAGCTTAATATTTATTTGTTTACTTTATTAAACATTTCTTTCAATGTAAGTTGTTTAAGTTGCTTCGTTTTTATGTGATAATACATTCTCTTTAATTCTATAAACAGACATAATTTCTTGTTCAGTTACAAAGTTCCGCTGTTCAAGTCCTATAATTGCTGTGTCTACCGACTAATTTGTCAATCGAAATTTTTTTCGTTTTCAATAACCTCTGTCACTTTCTTCGTTATCTATCGGAAGCGAATTATAATGATGAGGAATTTGATTTAAATAATATCAAAGACGGAGTACATCGAGATGAAATACTACATTTAGTAAGGAATTATAAGCCAAATAAAATAAAAAGCATCTGCCCTGAAGATAAGGATAGTGCTGACAGATCAACTTCCAATTCATTGCGCGCCGCCACGGCATTAAAGATAAACAAACGTTAAAGTTTAGATAAACGAAGGATATGCCTTTATCCATTTTTTGCAGTAATTCCACTTTTTGTTTAATGAGCTTTGAAACATACTTTCGCTTTGTAGATCCTTTACATATTAATAAATATATATCAGAAATTCTATTTGACATAATCGAAAGTTCAAGCTTACTTTTATAAAATTGCTGTAACAGTCTGCAAAAAATAATAAGCCGGATCCAATTCGAAGATTAAGGAACAACGCAATCTTCAACATTAACTGAAATAGATAATTAGATAATTTTAGCTTAGCTTATACCGTCTGTTATACATTAAACGCGCACTCGTAAACGTATTTTTCGCACGCGCACAAGCATATTCGCAGCCGTAAAGGTCTTACGTGCATGCGTCAATGCGACGCATGCGCAGAAAGTTTGTAGCTTTGAGGTTCGGATTATAGATCATTCCGGATTATGGGTATCCAAATTAACGACTTTTGACTGTATTATGTTCAGTATTTTATTTTAATCTCACCATGTGAACGTGCACTTGAATGGGGAGGTGTGAGGCACTGGTGCCCTGTCTGGATAGCAAGGATGCCAATGCCAGCAAAATGCAAAGATAAGTAGCAAAATGGATCACATGGAATGATAATTGTATTTTATTTAAAAACAGGTCACACACAACCCATTGAATGGCTTTAAAAATAATAGAAAATCTTACGAACAGATTTGTGAGATATATGAAAGACACATTTGTGTTTTTTACTGTAAATAAAAACGTTTAAAAAGTACAAGTTTATTTGATGCTAAATAACTGATGAAAAGAGCCCTCAATCGTGGGTCACGATAAACAGTGTTAGAAATATTGACTTCAATCATTAAAAATTATATTCATATGAAGATAGATGCCACTCATAACTGGCACCCATTCTAATGCTAGTCTCAGTAGTGTCAGGTAGCACAAAACTTTAAGAGTGCATAGTGCAAAATATCTGATGTTCAATGATAAGTCTACCTTCACTATATTTTTCACATCTTAGAAAATTTGTATGTGGAAAACCCTTTCAGAAACATGTAATCTGGACTATCCAAGGTTAAAATTAATTTAGAGATGAACTGGTGACAGTTTAGATTGTTGTATTAAGAAGTCTTTGGAAATCTATGATGGAGCAGATCCATCCAGTCGTTCAAAATCTGTATCTGACTGACAGTCAGCAAGTCATCCTACAAAACTCGATACAAAGTGGTGTGAACATAGGAGGGAGCCTGAATATCTTCCATATCTTGCAGAATCTTTTTATGGCCCTGTTTGGAGTCTGTTAGAGGACAGAGTTGCAAGTTGTTTTCTCCTCTACCATCACAAGATGAAATAGCCACTTCCAAAAAGACAGACTAAAAGTGCTTTTAATGTTGATTAGAGTTAAATCAATCAATTTCAAGAAAAATCATTGCAATATTGGCCTCCAAAAGAGGCTCAACATAGTATTAATGAAATATTGTTTCAATTTTATTGTCCAGTTCCTGTTTTTAATGCAGTAACTGATGTCAGAGGACTAACTGTTCTTTTTTTTTTTTACATTTAAATTAAAATCATAATGCATTTTAAAAGGCAGTAATGATATTGTGTTACTTTATTATTATTATTTTACTCTGTTTTAGGCTTTTGATATTTGTGAAAAGGAACTTGGTATTCCACCTGTTATGACTGGTCAAGAAATGGCTGAATGCTCTGTTCCAGACAAATTAACCATGGTGTCTTACATATCGCAAGTATATGAAAGTTTTCGTGGAGAGATTCCTGTTAGTGAGTGTCTCTCTAAAGATGAATTTTTCAGTTTTTAATTTTAGTATAAATGATGCTTTTTGATTGCATGTGAAAAACTTATCTTTTATTTAAGAAAAAAATTAGCTTTAATGTCTTTATCATATTTGTTAAATCATTTTTATTAAACATTTCTTTTTACCTTCTAATAAACAAACTTTTATTAAACATTTTCTCAACTTTCTTGAATGCTTTTGATTGATTTAATGCAGTGTTTTTGTTGTTCATAAACATATCATTTCAGAGCATTTTCATTATTGTATTATAAGTATCTGAAGTTGCAGATGAATTTGCATACTTCTTTAGTAACTTTTATGCCCTTATTGCCTCTTGTTTGCTATTACATAAGAGTTCATAAGTTGTGTGAAGTGTGCTGCAAGTATTGCATGTCATCCTGTATGAATAGTAAGCTACAATTATATGAATTCTGTGTGAATAATTCACTCTGTGTCTCTCTATGGCATAACAATTACAAGTGGAAAAAGCAGAACTTTGTTGCTGAACAATAAATTTTTTTCTTTTATATTAGCAAATGTATTATGAGGGATTGGTTTTAAATTTTTAGTTTTAAGCCAAGACTGGTAGGAAGGAGGAAAATTAGTCATGACAAAATCCATGGTGTCATTTTCATCTTCCATGAAGGAATATAGTTTGACATCTATATTAAGCATAGGAAATGTTATGCATTTGATAGGGAAACTTGAAAAACTCTTTCTAATGGCAAGATGTTTTGCTTTTAATGAGCTAAAATAGTATAAAACATCTTGCTGTGGCCATGGTGCATTTTTTAGTTGTATCTGCCATTTAATAATAATAATAAACTGTGTAAATTTTGAATGTATTGATTTGATAAAAGAAGTAGGTGAGATCAAGTATGTAAATTCTTACTCTTCCTTTGTAGTTGCATCTTGAGCCCATATCTCTTAGTTTTAGTAGATGTGAATGTTTTTTGGGGGGGGGAGAACATCCCGTAGATGCCAAATTGGATTCAAGTATGAGGATGTCGAAGATAAATCTCAAGATTTAATAAAGTTATAAACTCTGATGAATGTTGTTATGTGTGATTCTTGGCCAGCAGTGAAAGATGTGTAGATGTATTGTTGAGAAACATTCTTTAATAGTGCAATGAACACCTATTTTTTAATTAGATAATCATCTAAATTTGCATACCTGTGTCGGTAAAGCTCTTTTTTAGGCATATCATTGGTTCTATCTGAAGATATTCCATATCACCAGAATCTGCCAGTACCCAGAACAGTCATCATATTTCATAACAGGTTCTTAGCTTCAGGTGGTTGATGTGAAATTTGCAAACATCCATCAGTATGAAATACTTAATTCACAGTACTGAATTTGGTTGCCAGTTGAGTAATTTTATGTCAAATTACAGAAGTCCTTTGGCATTTTGTTGCCCAGTTAACAGCTTATTCAACATCACTGTCAATAGAAGCAAGTCGTTCATACCAAACCCAGTATATTGCAGTGAACAATGAGTAGTCACTTGCTGGTAGATGTCCAAATTGCAGCTTTCAAGTGTTTATTCAGTTTCTACAAGTTGTCTTTTCGTATATATGCAAAGCAGGCTAGGTGACAAAGGTTGCACACCTTCTAGAGAGGTTTCCAGAAATACAAACCTTAGTTGATGGTATTTATTCTAACATATAAATAATATTGATATGCGTTTTCTATTTATAAATATCCCAAAGCTGCTTCTGAGTATTAATGACCCTTGTATTTGGTGTGTGATGCTCTGAATTTCTTGAAATCTGTTAAGTCATATTGTTTATTTATAACTATGTTTACTGTTGCAGCTATCACGGTTAGCATTTTGTCTGTAACAGGCAAAATGCAGGCAGAGAATAGGGTAAAAGCATGCTGATCAATTTATTGTAGGTAATATGCCAATTCATCTAGAATTTCAGTATGCATAGTTGTGTTATCAGGTCATTTAACTGTTTGCTGCTTAACTGTATATTTTTTCCTTACAGTTTTTATAATTTCTAGAAGAAATAATGCTTACTGATATTATTTTGCAGTTGGTTATCCAAAAATTAATGCTAATGAAGAAAGAACTGCGAGTCCTAATAAGCAACTACATAGTACACCTTTGTCAATTATAAACAAAATCAGTTGCAGATTTCAGCATAAAAGAAAAGTAAGCTTTAATTGTTATTTGTTATTTATTTAATGATAATAAAAAAAAGGATAACTGTCATATCTACCATTTCATTATCTAACTTTATAACTGAAGCACAGGAATTGTACTGAGAAAGATGAGTAAATAATTATGCATGATTAGATATTTTTCTTTAAGCCTTAGCTGAGTTACCTATATAATTTTATAATTGTTATTAATTGAGCTTAAATTATTTAGTATTCAGTTGAAAAAGAGTTGTCTAAAGAAAGGGAAAGAGGTGAAAATGTAAGGCGGCGTTCTTCCTCACTATTTGCTCATAAAAGAAAATCCAAGGAAAAAGGAGTACCCTCAGTAATTAATTTTATATATATATATATATATATATATTTTTTTTTTTTTTTTTTTTTTTTTTTTTTTTTTTTGTCATTCTTTCACTTTGGAGTTTACTTATTTTTAACTTCAGAATCAAATGTGAAAGTTATTTTGATTTTATTTATTTTAGGATATTTTGAAACAAGATGTTATATTAACGGACTATAAAAGTATCACTGCCAACAAGCCTAGAGAATCGATCAACACTCGAGTGAAGAATTTGGAAGCAAAAATAGCAAGAGATGCTGGTCACAGATTTTACAATACTGAAGAATCTGAAAGTTCAAAAGCATCACGTATTCGATCTGAACAAACAGAGCTTAACATAAAACTGCTACAAGAACAGCTTCAGAAAAATGGTAGTGAAGCTAATATAAAGAAGTCCAGAACACCAAAAGTTGGTAAATTGAGAAAGGATGAGTGGAACGTCAAAATTATTGAGGAAAAAACAAAGCAACAGCAGTCTGCTTTATTAAAAAATTCAACTCCAGAGAAACCAAAGATATTTAAAGAAATATTTATAAATAAGGTTTGTGATTTACTTGAATATATATTTTTCACATCATACCATAAAGCTGCTTCCCTCCTTTCACTTTGTATCTAAATACTTTTCCTGGGTTATTTTTAAGTGTTTTATACTGGGTGAAGTGAAAGAGGTATACAGTCAAAAGTCGTTGATCCCGACACCCATAATCCGGAATGATCTATAATCTAGACCTCAAAGCTACAAACTTTCTGCGCATGAGCGTTTAATGTATAACAGATGGTATAAGCTAAGCTAAAATTATCTAATTATCTATTTCAGTTAATGTTGCAGATTGTGTTGTTCCTTAATCTTCGAATTAGATCCTGGCTTATTATTTTTTGCAGACTGTTAGAGCAATTTATAAAAAGTAAGCTTGAACTTTCGATTATGTCAAAAAGAATTTCCGATGCTGGAGCTGCAAAGGATCTACGAAAGGGAAAGCATGTTTCGATGTCCATCAAACAAAAAGTGGATTTGCTGCAAAAAATGGATAAAGGCATATCTTTTGTTTCTCTAACCATTCCGAATTCTGTTTATCAATTTCACGCTCCTCTGCAGGGGGGGGACATCGCGGCGTGCAATAAACTGGAAATTGATATGTGAGCACTATCTTTATCTTCAGAGCAGATGTTTTTATTTTGTTCGGCTTATAATTACTTACTAATGTAGTATTTCATCTCGATGTACTCTATCTTTGATATGATTTAAATCAAATTCCTCGTCATTATAAATATCATGAATACACATCAAATAGTTTTCTGGTTGCATTTTCTAATTTCGACTATGTGTAATGTATGCTTTACGCATGCGCGCGTTGAAAGAAATGTTTAATAAAGTAAACAAATAAATATTAAGCTTTTTTTTTTTTTTTTTTTGTAAATTTTGATACCCTTTAGTTCATAATTGCTCTTTATTTCATAAATTATGTTTTCATATTTTTAATTGCATAATTTCTGCATGCCATCTAACCAGATTTAAATTGATGATCTATAATCCGGAAAAACCGATACTCCGGAATCGCTGAAGTCCCGATGAGTCCGGATTAAAGACTTTTGACTGCATATTAATATATCGTTATGAAAAAATTATAATTTGATTAATCCAAAATATTTTTAGATGATTTCTTTGAAACATTGATACTGTTCATTTCTGGTTTTTGAATGATGTTAATGTTATATTAAAACAAATTATTTCCCTGTTCAACAAAATTCAGCTAATTGTATTTTGCGAATATTGCACATATGTTAATTTAAAACTGTTCTTTTGAATAAAGAAAAAAAAATTACATATTTGTTGTTAAAAAATGCAGAAAAATATGTCCAGTCTATAAATCATATGTTAAATTTAACCCTTTTGACCCGACTTTTGAATGATTAAAATTTAACCATGAAAAGTAGTTTAATTTAATGTTGACGTACTTAAAAAGAAGTGTAATACAAGTTTAAAGTTTTTAACTTTTCCCCGTTTCCTGGAAATATCCTGGGACAGTATGTCCCAATCATATTGTCAACTGGGACTATTTGTCCCAGTCATCTATGATATTGTAATAATAACCTTACACTGCATGTGAATAAATAATTAAGTTAAATTAAATGTACCAAATATTTTATTCTCACAGTAAGAGTTAAGTATGATATGGCATAAAGCAATCTTTACAAAGCGCAACCTGATACATTTGGCAAATACCCCAGGTTTCTTTAGTCATATATTTGTTTTCTAATTCTTTAAAAACACTGCAATCATAAAAACCCATTTAAAAGTGGGTTTTATTTACCCAATAGGGAGCGAAATGTAATCTCTGGGACATATGTGCCGGTTAGGACCGAAAGGGTTAAGAAATAATTATAGAAAACCCATATTGTTATGTTGGGAGCTAAATTGTTTAGAATTTTGAATGTAACTTTTAATGATTCATTTGTAAAACATTTAATTTGTTCACTTTATAATTAATATATTGAAAATATAAAATATGGTCAACATGTGCAATTTTAAATATGTAATTTATACTTTTTAAGCATCCGCTAAAAGTTTTTATAAATTTGTCGAGACTGTTAAACTGCTGAACTTTTTCTCCACAAAAGTCAAGCTTATGTGCTTGTGTTAGAATCAAGAATATTTATTATTATATAAATTTTAAATAAATTATTCTAGATTGATTTCATAGAGGAGCTAAAAGGGAGCATACAGGAGTCATTTCAGTGTCACTGAACACAAATTATTGGTTTTATAATTTTGCCTTATATGAAAGGAACGTAATATGACTGAGTTTCAAAAAGCAGAAAGGGAGCAAATGCTTTAGCATAAATAAAAGCGAATGCTTGTATTCGTCTTAAGGTGACTAACTGTAAGCCAGACTTGACTAAATTGACGTCATAAGCTCAGCGTCAGGGAATCTTGATGAAGTGAAAAATAAAGTTCATTCAGTTATGTTTGTTTTTATAATAATTTTAATTTTTATATTTAAAGCATATTGTAATTATTTTCTCAATAAAATTTATATTATTATTCACCAAGAGAGACTATTTTAAAAATGAAAATACCCCTGAACTGAAATGTTTTCTTAAAATGCATAGACAAAAAAAGGTTTAGGAAGCCTATCTCATATAATGGACTACCGTAATATCCTGACGTTATGAAATGGGGGAGCAGTGAAAATGTGTATGTAAGATATAGTTTTGTCTATAAATACATATGAATTTAAATTAAATAAGACCAAAGGCTATATGTAGTTTTCGTACATATCAATACAAAATAATAATAAAATAAATGTATAACATTAAATGGAGTTTTGTCAATGTCAATAGCTTCATTAAATTAACAAATCCGTCTGACGACTGAGTGACTGACAACTGAGTTATCATTTAAGAGTTCTTCGTAACAAACTAAAATTTTTTTCATTCCTTACTTTGTAATTAGAATGCTTTTCATATTAGAATTTATGTTTCAAAAAATCTGTTTTCTATTGAATCGAAACTTTCTGCCAAGCTTGCAATTGGTCACATGCTTTCCTGGTGGATCTGGAAGTGTGTGTAACTTTAAATTCACTTAAGCTGGGGAATGATATTCTAAGACTAAAGAGAAAGCTCAACCATTCGTGTATTATGATAAGCCCTCAGTTATTAAATTCTCAGTAATTTTGTTTAATTGAAGAGATAGTGGAAGACTGATTTTAAATTTGCCCTAGCCAAGTAAGCAATTCCAGTTTTTTGGATGCATATTAAAAAATATAATTCATGTTCATTTATTAGTCTTTTCTTGGGATTATTTTATTATTTGACATAAAGCAAAGCCCATTAGAATATTGATTTCCATGAATTAAGGAAAAATCGTCATATATGACACAACATGCAAAGAATTTTTGATTAATTTGGGGAAAAACATCAATAGCATGGCCAATTTGGAAATTTCTTAAAAGTGTTAAATGAAAAAAATGTTTCCATACAAAAATTAGTGATTTAAGGAAATTTTTCAAAAAAAAAATATTAGATAAAAGTGCTTTAAATGTGCAGTTTGGTTAATAGTAATAGGATTGGCAACTTTGTTCATACTATTTGTGATGTTGTTAATAAACTGTGTAACAATAATCATAATTTCCTTAAAGCATTATAAATATCTATCTTGATATTTTATGGCAGTTTAGTCACAGTTAAACATCTCCCTAGAACATTCTGTACATTCTATGTTGGATTTAAATGAAGAGATCAATTTGGGATGTCCATTCTCGAAGGTTTTCTGTGGATGGTAGTATTTTGATTTAAACTGTGTCTTGAATTTATCTTAATTAATTTTGCATTAAACTAATTACTGCTGAATAACATCTGGTAATATAAATTCATTTACAGACACTTTTTTACAATTAAAAATGCGTTCATATGTTAAGTAAATCCACAGTCGTTAATATTACATCATTAGAGTAGCATCATAATCACTATTAGATTTGTTTCTCACATTGATAATATCACTACTATATTTCAATTACAATACTACTATATTTTTCTTTTGGCAAAAATGTATTTCAAAAGCATCAGTTATTTCTTTGTGGATTTTAATGGCATTTTGTAGTGATATTATTTCTGCTAACATGCTATAATTGGAAGCTGTTATAGAATTAGGAAAGATTTGTGCACAGTCTTTATTCTCTTTGTTTAGAAATTTTTAAAATGTTGTTTATTATACTTAAATTTCCAAATATGTGTGGTATCTAAACAGGTGGATGGATTTGATGATATTTACAGTTGCAACATAACATAAAAATTTTTGAAGTAATTAATCTTTTTGAAATTCTTGGAACTGTTATTGATATATATGTAAAATAAAATTCTGTAGTTTACTGATGGTTTTTCTTTTGAAATTTAGATTCTAATCCATAAAAAAAAACAAAAATAAAGAAAAAAAAAGAAAGAAAAAAAAAAAAAAAAGAAATTATGGGTGTGAAAACATATTTCCATTATCAGTTCATTTCTCAGCTGTGGTAAAATTTCTGAAAATAAGAAATATTTTTTTGGTGGGGTGAGGATTCTTAGTTACTTCAAAAAAGGAAATAGAATAATAAACTTTGAAAGCTTATGATTTACTTGAACTTATTTTGAAAACTAGATCAGTGTTATAGAAGATAATGTGCAGGTTTATTTTATGGTGTCTATAGACAAGGTAAACGCCTGTACCTTTCTAAGGGAAATTATGAATGTACTCATCAGAGAAATATTAATTTCACGATTTGTAATAAGGTTCTTACAAAATAAATAAATGTGATATATAAATCATTTTCCTATATAATTAATTTTAATTTAATTATTTTCAGCGGCATTATATGGATGAAAAGCTTAAAGCTGGTGGAGCCCTAACCCCAGAAGAAGCAGCCAAATATAAAAAAATTGATGATGCCCTAAATAAGTTGCAGAATAAATTAACAAAGGGCACGATGGATGTTGGTGATCGTGGTTACAACCAAACTGCTGCAATGGCTGAACACATGGCTACCATCTGGGATAAGAAGGCTGGCAGGAAAAAAGATCCATTACCTCCTGCACCTGTTGTCAAAAAGGTATGTAAATCTTTCAAATAATCAGTTGTAAGCCTTTACATGTGTAAGAGTGTTATTGTATGCACAATTTATTATACAAATTCCTGCATGTAATAAATTAGATATGGTTTTCTAAATTTATATAGCAGTTGTGCTTTTTTGGTTGTATTATTTTTATTAACGTTTATCATTACTATGTTATTTGGCATTAAATTTACTTTTAAAAATTTGAATTTATATTAAAGGGAGGGAATCCTAGGATCATTTGTAAGTAAAACTTTAGTGCTTTGGATAATTCTTAAGTTAAATTTGTTCAATGCCCAAAAAGAAAAAAAACAGGATATTAGCTATATTTCATATACTTTTAAAGTTTCATTCTGTCACTGAAATTTTTGCAAACAAATGAGAGTTTGCTGTTTATAAAAGTTGGTATGTTTCATTTTTATATATTCATGCTTAATTGTATGTTCTTATTTTTAAATAAATTAATGTTTTTGGTGATTTTATATATTCTTAATGCAATGTAATATGGCAATTAAACATAATTATAACTGCTTGCTTATTTTTTTGTTTTATTTTTTATAGTTAATACAGGTATGCATTCATGATTTAATGAAAAATGCAGACTATGAGTGGTAATATAGGATGTGTTATTTGTTTTTTTATGTGTTAAATATTTTATTTATTTAATGCATAATGCTTACATAATGCCATGTGCATTCTAAAAAACTCTAAACCACTGCTTTTAGAATCTTAACATCAAAATTAAATTCTTGATATAGTAAAATAAAAGTGCTGCATGATTTACATAACACTCCCACCTTTTGATTATACATTTCATTATCAAAACAAACATACACTTACATCAAATTCAAAGTTGGTAATAAATCATAAATTTACAAATTAGGAAGTTGCTAGATAATATTCAAATGCATAAATATAAATTCTAAAATAATTACTATCCAAAATAAGGCACTTTGAACTAGTCTTAATTTTATCCAAATTTTGCTGATAGTCTAACAGTTCTGCCACTTTTAGTGGATTAATTCTGATAGCAGATTCTTTTTAAATCGTCTTGACTATGCTGTACATTTGAAATTTTAGTAGAACTCGTGTTTGCCGAGTAGAGGCTAATTTTCAAAGGCTAAATCTTTTTGCCAGGCTGTATAATCTCGTCTCTCGAGTCCTTAAATGCACAACACAAATGTTAATCATCTTTTCCTGGTTATATTTCAACAACTTTAGCTAGAGGCCAGATAATTCTGTTTGAATCACTTTCTGGAGAACAGTGTCACACACTTTTAAATTATAGAAATTGTCTCTGATGTTAATTCAAAGTGCGTAAATACTGCAGTTTTAATCTCTTTCTTGCTCTCTTTTCTCTCAAAGTTTATTGGTACCTCCACCATTTGGGGGGGGGGGCGATCTTATCCAAATGATCAAAATTGGGAACTCTCACCATCAGATTATTCTGCAAAAACATTGTTGCAGGATGGTGTCAAATCTTCGAGGTCCACTGATAATGAAACCAATGGTTTTGAATTTATCACAGCTTCACAATCATAAAGGACATTGTTCATTTCCTCGAAATACACAGAAGCATTTCCTAATACACATTGAAGGAATCATTTGAATCGTATTCTCCCAAAATCCACCCTACCAGATAGTAGAAGGAGGGATGAATTTCCTTTCAGTTCTGAAGATGGTTTTCTAATTCAATTGTTTTCCAGTCCAAGCTTTGAAACATGTTTTCCTATTCTATGAAGTTCTTGCTGTCACCACTATTTGTAATTTTGGGCATGTCCCTACATGCAATAAATCATCTAAGAGTCACCCAACTTAATTCCGATTGGCAACACTCTTGAACCAAAAAACTTTGGACATAGTGTGAAACCATTTGGATCAAACACTCAATGAGCCAAGGGCAATATCACATGCCTTGTCACGCTTCCTTCAGGCATTTCATCAGCTCTGTTTTCACAAAAAAGGATGTCTTCTGATCTCTTTGAAAGGAGACCGAAGATAGACAAAAATTAAGATCCTTCATTCAGTTTTGTTCTTTTGTTAAACTTCCAGTCCCTGAGTTCAAATTTAGTACCTTCCATCTTTTCGAAGAACAATTTATGAATCTTTCAGTCTCCTGTTTAGAATCCACAGAGGTGACACATTTGTCCTCAGAAAATGAATTTTTTAATTTCTCCACCACATCTTGAACAGGCAAATTGCAATATTGTTCTAAATGGTATTGAATAACAGTACTCAATAAGAAGGGAGTATAGTTCAGGCCAAAGACAACTCTACATTTCTTCAAACATTTTTATTATGAAGAAATGAGTTACAATTAAAAAATTTTGCGATTAGCAAAGACACTTTATTTTTTTAATGCACACATCTAGAACACTGAACTTCCCAATTCCATTAACCTGGTAATCTTCTTGAGTCTATCCTTTCACCATAAAAATTTCAGATATTTTTTGTCTTCTTATTACACTTCTTAACACATATTTGTAGGAAGGCTTTCTTTATGTGGGAGATTTGCCCTCATCAAGCAGTTATTTAATGATAAATTGCCTCTAGTTTTAC